CCAGCCGGCGCGATGGCAAACCTCAAACCCTACGCACAGCTTCAGCACGGCCACAGAGGAAAACAAAAGGCAGCTACTGGAGCGGGTCTGGGTGCCACTCGCCTCCATTAGGGAAACGCATCATTGCTCTGGGAACCCAGCCAGGCCCATGATTTTCCCATCTCGTTTACAAGCAGGCCGGATTGGGTTTTATGCCAAAAGTGAAGAGCCTCTGTGCCCAGCTGTGCCACTACCAGGGACAAAGCCGCTAAAAAGCAAGACCACCTCGAAGCTCCAGTGCGAACATCTCCCAGCTCAGAAGCAGTAATGGCTCTGTTGTTCCGACATGAATTTTACGAGAGGAGAGAAGGGCAAAGGTGAAGCTCCTGGAAATGCCAGAATTAAGACCGAGCAGGCAAACCATCCATCCCCTTGGGCACACGCAGGCATGCCGGGCTCGCATTCCGCCAAGGAGCTCTCTTGCCCGACAGCAAGCGAGATGGTGAACAAGGGACTGGTTACACCGTGGTCCCCTCACAGCAGCCAAACTGCTGCTGCTGCTGATGATGATGAACACAGGGTTTCCTCACACGCTTCTCCTGCATTGCTCGTTGTTGAAGTACTGATCCGGTGTGACGCGCTCGGCGTCGCCGTGACCTCGAGGCCGGTATTCCTTCTTCATGGAGAGCAATATGGTCCTACGAACTTGCGCACATCCTCTCCAAGGAGCTGATCCTTCCTGGGAACGTCATTCAAAGCACATCAGCACTCAGCACCCCTGGAAATCAGCCTGGAGAATTTCAGCTTGGGCACTCCAGACAGGAGAGGTTGGTTCAAATTGTTTGATGCCAAGGAGGCGGGGAGTGGGGAAGGAAAAAAGCACTCAATTTTGCAGAGAAGCCTTCTAATAGCTTAAAGGCAACTTTTAAGGATCATTCCGCTTCCTGAAAACAAAATAAACCCAATTCATGTTCAAACCTGGCAGCTTCTTTTACTGTAATTTGTGTGTAACCTAAGTTCTCCATGCTCCTTGAATTTGCTTCGCATTTTTAAAAAGGGGAAAAAAAAAAAAAATCCATCCTGAGCCCTCAAGCTGCCACGGGTCATTTCCTGGAGCTGGCTCTGACGAGGCACTGCAAAAGATGCATCTTGAGTCAAGCAACTGATGAACAGCACAGCTGTAGGTGCCCAGACTCAGCCTGAGCCAAGCCATGAGGAGGATTAGGCGTATCCCGCCCAGGCGGTCACAGATGTTTGCTGACAGCCCAGGAACAGCAATGGCAGAGCAGAAGGCCCCACTCCAGGCACAGGGCTGATCCGGTCAGCACCAGCCCCGCTGCCTCCCCAGCCAAACCTGACTCCTGCCCGACCCCCCTCCAGCCTCTAAGCCTTCACACCAGAGAAGATGATCAGTCCCTGACTTGGGTACAGGCTGGGAGGCATTTCCTTGACACCAGGAATGTGAGTCCAGGCCTCCTGAACATCTCTTCTCAATCTCAATCTCATCTAAAAATTTGCCCACAAGAACCAAAGGTCTCCAGCACCCACTGTCTTTCCCCCCCAGCTCTTGTCCTTCACACCCTCAGTCCCTCCTGCCCATTTTCCTCCTCACAAGCTCCCAGCCCCCAGCGCTTCACCTTTGGCTTTCCCATGCTGTCCGTAAATCACAGTTTCTGCTCCTTCCACCACGCTCCACCCCGTTTGACTCCTTGGCCAGTTTGTTCCTTTCCCTTGTCTGCCCGTTACCCCCTGGCACCCAACCCGCAGTGGTAAGGGAAAGCCCTTTTAAACCTTGGAGCAACGAAGGGGACAGTACGCAATGCAGTCTGCTCCCAAATCTGCAAGATCAGGGACTGGAAAACGGAAAATTAACGTCTCTGAACACGCAAAATAGATAACCTTTGAAATGACAGCTAGCCTGGGCTCGGGTGGAGGCTTGGGGGATGCAGAGAGAGACCTGACAAGGCTAGCCAGCCCCAAGACCACCCTGCAGCTTTATGCCCTCATTCTACAGCATGGGTTCAGCTAAGCTTTCCAAAAGAGATGAAGCTCAGTAGTGACCCCAATCCCACTTTGTCCTCAAATTACTTTTAAAATATGGCAGAGGTCAAAAACAAGCAGGCATGGGACAGGGTAAGTGGTGTCCCAGGCTTTCCGTTCCCTGCAAGTTCAGCATAACTGTAGGTCAGGGGAGTTCCTGTGACGAGCAGCTTCATGAAGCGGTGGCACCAGACACACCCAACACCACCTCCATCCCCCACACCGCTACCTGCTACGTACCGCAACCGGCAACTCCAGTGGGCATCAAATGGAAATCTGGACTTCGGAAAAACCAATTTTCCTCGAGATTAGCAGCAAGAGGCAGCACAGCCCACGGGCACCTTTGCCTGCTGTGATGGCTATACACGTTGAACAGTATTGAAATCTTACAGCAGGACCGGGCACAAATTTGATGTGAATTATAGACATCAAGAGGATGCCACATAGCGGAACTAATATTTCAGTCGCACGAACTCCCACCCACTGGCTTTTGCTCGAGGCGGCATACAGCAAGCATCAGCTCAACTGTACTTAAACAAGCATTTCAGCATCAGTTTGGTTTCTGCACCAGCAGAAGCCTTTTCCTGGGATAGAAGAAAGGGAGGAACGACTTCCAAGCTTCCCACGCAGCATGGAAAGACCCAAACCAGACAATGTTCCATTTGGTTCTTTTATTAGCAGAAGTTAAGAATACAGCAAGTAATAAGATCCCATCTTATATGGAACCATCACCAGAGTCCCCAACCATCAAAACCCTAGAATGTGCTTCATTGCTTTCAACAGTAAGCAATTTTTAAAAAGAAATATACTGAACAAGGCCACTATTTAATGGGGAAGGAAAGAAGCTGTAGGTCCTAACTATTCTATGGCAATAACCTGCACACAGAGCAAGCAAGCCTCTGACTGCTGAGAGTAAGGCATTCAGGTGCCAACCTGGGAAGAGTTCTCAGCAAGAGCTACAGAAAAGTGCACAGCTAGGTTGTTTTTATTGGAACACACAAACTTCTCGAACGGAGAGATTGACTGGGTTAAGAAGAGCAGGTGGAGTACTGTGTTTTTGTAATAGTTCTGTGCTGTGTAGGACCAGGTTACAATCACCCTTCAAGGAGTGAGTGTGGGATGATCCAGGGTGGAGACTGCCACTTCTGCTGGTAATGTTACAGAGGTATCCCAAAGCGCCTCGCAGACAACTCCGACTCTGATATGCACCGCGCTTTTCTCAGACACCAGTGTGCTTCCTGCCAGGCAACTCTACATCTTTGTCAGGGATGCCAGTGCTATTAGCCCTTACATCCAAGTTAATACTGCTCTTTACTTCATTTTAGTACCACGCAGACCTGTGATAAACAACTTCTGGCCCTACAGGCATCCAGTGTAGTTATCCTACTGAGAACCCGTCCCTCTGAGCTCGCAGGCTCTGCTGCAACACCTCCTTCTACAGCTGACCTTGCTCTCAGAGGCTTTACAAAGACTCCATTTGAGGGGTGAAACCCTAATATCCTGTCAACTTTCCGAAGGCATTCTGCTTCTACTTGACTCCATCAGGCAAAGTAACTCCCCAAAACATACTCAAGTGATATCCAAGGTATGGGAAGATCTTTGCAATCCACATTTTTCTCTTGAAGGATGAAAACTCAAACTTGCAGGAGTCTTAAAAAACCCCCCAAAAAACCCAACTAAAACAACCAACCCAGCGCACAATAAAAAAACCACCCTTTACCTTCCCTCCTTGTGGAATACAGCGTTTTATGAGCTGCTTAACTCATCTAGGAGAGAGGTAATTGCTCTCAATTTCCAACGAAACACTCCAAGCAATACCCGTGCCATAACAAACAAAACGTTCAAGTTTCATCTTACGACTCTAAAGATTCTCCTTCAGTCTAGCTTCTGACTGGGCTCCAAAGATCAAGCTACATCAATTACACAAGAGAAGGGTATATAGCTCCCCTTATATAGGAGGTGCCTCTGCTCCACAGCAATCCAACTGGACTCTTAATTCTGTGTTTAAGAAATACCAGCAGTCCCATTGCTAAAGCACAGATGGGAAGCAGACCTAAAAGGAAAAAAAAAAAAAAAAAAGAAAAAGGGAACTGCATTGAGCTGATTGTGGATTTTCCTCTTAAAAAGAAAAACCTGCAAACTCCGTTGGCATATGGAGCCTGACACATGAGAAGGTAACGTGCTTGAGGTCTGCAGTAACTGTTAACTCCAAGCCCTGGAGCGCACGGCTTCCTCTTTCCAGTCCATCTTAGCCCCACCTCTGTTTCCCCTCACGTGCTCAACTGTCTTTCGACAAGTGCATTACCATCATTTGTTCAGACAAAACAGGGCAGGCCCGCAAATGGCAACCATCTACCGAACGGGGGCCTTTGGGTATAGGCAGGCACTGAGGGAGTTGGACTGTTAGCCATTTCATGAGCAGTTATCCCATCGTGCTCCAACTCATACGATGAGAACCAAAACAACTTACTGTAAGATCCACTATCCAAAACTATGCAGACCACGCAAGCTTGGAAGGCAGCTGTCCCACACGCTTAGGCAGGGCGCAGATGCATCTTTCGAGTTACTCGAGTAAATAAACTTGCTAACACTATGACCTGGATGACATCATGATTAATCCAGCCTTCGCAACCCTTGTGTACACATACTGAACCTACTCCAGTTGCTGGCCAGGACCCCACATTGCCCAGGGCAGGCACGCCGGCCACCAGGAAAACCTGCAGAGCCAACATGCTTCACTCCTGGGAATTTTACCTGGTCCTCCCGCAATCATTTATTTTGTGCAAAATTGAAACAGTGTGTGGTACTTGCATGTTGCATTCTTTACAAAAACCCTTTTCCCCCCACCCATTGTTTAAAACATTTATATAAATTTTATTTAAACAGAAAGTTAGAAATCTTATTTACAATTTGTTTTTCTCCCAAAAGAGCATCTAAAATCAACTCCCAAACCCTCCAAGAGGATATAAATTTAACCTTGATTTTTTTTTCTTTTTAAAAAAAAAGGAAACTGCTAAGCTATCCCTCCCCACTTCTACAAATAAATATGGCATTGAACAGAAGCCGATTTGGAAGGGTCCTCTGTAGCTCAATCTGTAGATCCCAAGAATAAATTAGGGTTTCAGAATTTCCTGGTCTTCAAATTGTTTCATTCCATTGCTTGAGGTATAGAATTTGCCTTGGTTAGTCAGAATCCCCATGAAGCTCCATGCCCCATCAGCTGAAACTTGGATTCTTCTTAGGTATTCATTTCACTAGCCTGTATGCTTCAACCGCACTTGCGGTACTGTTTTGGTTACGATCTTGGGCTGAAGGATGGTTTTACTGCATCCCATCTTCCTCTGCGCAGCCTCCACCAACTGTGAAACGGAACTCCTGGAGGTTCGAAACCCCATGGAAGTGCACGAAAGCGCCAGCCACTACAAAGACGTGAAAGAGCTGATGGGAGTGGAACTGCGGAAAAGAAAACACTTCTATTCAGCCGGGGTACTTTGGGTTGTAGTGCTACTCTGTCTCCAAAAAAGCCACACATTCAGCTGAAGTACACAGTAACACGTAGCAGTACCTCAAACCACAAGCTGCAAAGTTCTCCAAGTTGTGCGCTGAAAGCCCATCCCTCTCCTATCATTAGCAAAATAACCAAATTCCCCCCACACACACACTCTACCCTTTCCTTCAGTCATCTTAACCAGCTGGCCAAACAACAAATATGCTACATAAATGCTATAGCCCATCTTTGTGAAGGGACAAGGATAATTTCAGAGCTTTGGGCAAAAGGCTTAAGTGGGACACTTGTAAAATGAGTTCCTCCTCAACACACACTGGTGGTTTATTAATAACAAGGGCTATCTCATACAGCTAGTATGTTCAAACTCTGCTCTGGTCACAGGCATAAGTTTTACCAGGTGGATTTTCAGAACGTTGTTATTTTATTTCTCTGCCAAAGAGAAACAGATCAGTAAAAAAAAAAAATGGTATTATATTAAAACCTAGAAACAACCAGATGTTGTGAATGAATGCCCAGGATGCTATTGATTATAGTACAGCAGAATGAAAACCATGAGGGAGCTACATGACAAAGCATGCCCTTGTTTGAGGGAAGCCATACCAATATGGATAACACTCTTGGGAAATTTCTACAAATGTGTATTTGCAGGCTCCATGGGAAGCTTGGAAAAGAGTTGGTGGTACACCAGTGCTTTTGGAGCCTAGCTCATTGCCATAACAAGGCTTTGTTTGGCCATTTAAACAAATTTGGCAACCTGTGCTGTGCAAAAGCCACTCAAACAACCCAGGCCTCATTCTCACTTCTGATCTTTTTAGGGGCCTTAAACTATCCCAGTGGAAGTACAGTGGCCTTCCAAAGGTCCACCTCCCTCTCATCTCTACTCTTGCTCTATCCAATTTCTTTCTTTACATCTTCCCCACATATTTGCCCTCTACAGTCTTCATGATCCTTTCCCTCACATAAATCCCTTCCATCTGGGCCAGAGATCCCTCCAAGTCTACCATCTCTATCCAGCGTTTTCACTGCCTGCACATGATGACGAGCCAGACATGGTAAAGATCCCGGAGAACACACTGAACATCAGAGAAATAACCATGCACTATTCTGCACAGAAGCAAGGTAAGATGTGTGTTTGCAGGATCCTCAACATTCACACAAAAAGGTTTGCAACATTGCTTACCCACCTATTAAAGTTATCTACTAGATGTGCTGGGGTGAATTTGCACACCAGCAGTTACCTCGGACCAGCCAGCTTGTGATAACTCAGCAAGAGAGGCACCAGGTAAGCCAGGCTCAGAGAGCCCACGGTGGTTTGGCCCCTTAAAACCCTACACTTCTGGTGCAGCAGTTTGATACTTGCAATAAGAAAACATAGACACAACATCCTCCAGCCTCAAGGGGAACCAGCTTTCACGTTGGTCTCCTCAGCCAGTCATTCTGTAGACTCACCCAGATGTCACACTTGCCAGGGAAGAATCTCTCCGGGATGCGGGCAGCATATAGTGCAGCACCAGTGATGTACAGGCATGCCATGAGTGCCAGCCAGCCTATCTGCCCCATTGTGGCTGCCTTCAGGAGCCCCTCAGAGATGACAAAGTGCAGGGTGGGAATAACCCCACTAAGACCCAGACCTAGAAATACTCCTGGGAGGTAAAGAAAACGTGGGAGAGTCAGATTTGAACACAGTGGTGGTAAAGGGAGACAATGAAAACACAAAAGCTATTGAGGAAAAAAACCTCAGTATTTGCCAGAGCAGCAGAAAGGTGACAGCTCTTGAAGCTGGAGGTCCCCAGAAAAGCTTTACTGGAGAGGAAGTTAAAGAATGCACAGACTTCCTTCATATACCAGAAGCTACTTAGTTATACATTCCAGCAGATACTGAAATATTTCATTTAGTGACTGCATCTGCCAGCTTCAATGTAACTTAAGCCAGTTACACGTCTTGGACTGTAGAGGGCACTGAGACTACATGAACTATGTCTCACTTCACCGTAATTTCGAGAGCAAGACAACAAGGAGACACGACAAAGAGATTATTTATCATATACCATACAAGTAGTCCTAGGAAACAAAAAAGTAGCATGTGAGGCTCATCTGATCTGCCATATACAAGAACACTGTTTATTAATTCAGATTTTAGCAGCAAGTACAGAAATCTTGTAAAAACAGTGTGCATGGGGGGAATAATCACGTCCCATCCACAGTTTTTAAATTTGGAAGAATGAACTTTCTGAAGCTACACCCACAGCTTATCCAGGAAATTTAGATTTACTGGAGACAGCACATGCAGGTTAAGTAACAAGAAATGTTACTATTTAACCCAGTTGTGTTCAGATTCCATAGCCGTCCCCTAAAGCCTTCTCTTCCTACCTCAGAATGTGAAACCAAATCTGGTTTTGTTCTTTTGATCATGTGAAGAGAAAAAAATACGCCCTTTGTCTTAAATATGTATTTTATCTAGGAAAATCATTCAGATTAATTAAATCATTCAATGATGTGCTAGTGTCTAAGCCTAGTATTACAAAACCAAAAGACAAACAGCAGAAGGAATATACACATACACACACCAAACAGTCAGTCAATTTTTGAGAGAGCAAAGTTGCTAGATATAGCTAGAAACACTTTGCACTACCTTTCCTACTGCATGTGTTACTGTCCATTTCAGGAATGCACTTCCAGGACTTGCACCAGCCCTTATCTGTGCATCCAGTTGGCTATAATCAATGCTGAAAGAAAACCCATCAAGCTCCCAATCCAAGAATATTAGCTCTCTATAAAATTAAGCTCTCTTAACACTTCCCAAAACGGTTTTTCCAAGCAGCAAGTAGGAAGGAGGAAAGGCAGTCAAGAAGCAAAACAATTAACTTCAGGTCTTACCTGCCCTTACACCCCGGTATTCAGGGGTTGCAAACATGTCCCACTGTGAGACAATTATGGCTGCGATGCCCAGGACACAAATCACAATCAGGTAGATGAAGCAAGGCTGAGGGTTGCAATAGAAGGAGTAGTACAGCCATGGTACAAAGCTGCCCATTATGAGAAGTGCAATGCCAGAATAATCCAGCCTGGAAGGAAACAAAAATCGATTTGGTAAGAAATGCAAACCTTTGGAAGTCTTCATACCAACAGTCTCTTCTTCAACAGACCACCTGTCTACTTCGTACTGCAGAATGAAGTTGCTCGCACTATTGCAACTTACTTCCCGATGGCAGCTCTTGTACCAATGCCCTCCTACAGTAATGGATTACCGTGATAGTCAGCTAGTAAGGCCATTTTGGGACAGTCATCAGCAACACATACAGCAGCCTTTAGACCAAAGCCTTCTGAAGGCAACTCGGATTTAAGCTTCAGATGAGGAAAAAAGCAGCACAAGAGCCCTCTGAACATAAAAAAGGGCACACAGTATGTTGTGAGAGCACAGCCAACACAAACACTTTAGCATCTGACAAGCATGAGTTAGCTGGGCATCAGCTTAAGTGACCACTGGGGAATAATGTCACAATTTTTCAACCACGCTGTTTTTCTATACAGCAGTGAAGAAAAGGAATTCCTACAGCCATTGCTTTTTACCGCACCCTAACAAAATGCTCTTACAAGAAATGATGGAGTTAATTTTTCAGTAGGGGACTTTAGCTGCTGGGCTGCTTTAGAGGTGGTCTTGCAGATTACACAATCCTAGGTTGAGTAATCTTAGGAAACATGAGAAATTTATCAGCCAGCCAAAAAAGAATGCGTAGTAAAACCAAAAGACCAAAACATCTTGACACGTATTGTGAAGTTGTCTCACAGAAGTTTAAGATTCAAAGTTAGTCAGAATAGTTGAAATGACAAGAAGTGACAGTTGCATTTAAAATTCAAAGTCCTGCAACTAAGCTTTAGGTATATTACTTACAGCAGCAGGATGCATACACACGCCTGCCAAACAGCAGAAGATGAAGGAGTTTAAAGACTAAAACAGCAGCACAAAATGCTGAAACAAACCATAACTAGAAGGAGCCGCGTCGAATCTCTGCTCAACTCTGTTCACGCAGTCATGCAATGAGCAACTGCTATGCTGGGGCTCCAAGCATAAATCCCAACCCTGTTTTCCCACCTGTTTCCTATTTGGCCTACCCTGTCCTCTAGGCACTTACTTGGAGAAGAGCCGGGAAACACCTTCTGAGTGGCAATAAACTGTGTGGAAGAGCCATGAGAAAGAAAGGCAGAGTATGGCTCCCAAGAAGAACAATCCAACAACCACTTTCTCCTGCACAGGTGCTACAAAGGACATGTTTGGCCGAAACATGTAGAAGATTCCCAGGCAAAGGAAGAACACACATCCTGAAAAACAGTAAGGCAGAAAGGTGTCAAGTTCATGCATACTGAAAGCTTTTCTTTCTAAAAGCACGACTTTAATGTACAGGAGCACTAAACATAGGAGGTGCATGACAACCAGCAGCACACATGCAGAATAAAGTGCTGCCCTACTTCAGTTATGCATTCCAACCCTATTTCTGTCTCAGACTGATTCAATGAAGACTTGCATGGACTCTGTATTTTTAATCGTTTTGCAGGATGCCTGACAACTTGTTGGACATTCTAGAACAACGAATAAATCTGTTGCAAATGTAAAAAGAGAAGGGGATAGTTCAAAGAAACCCTTTCCCTTCAAGGCTCCTTGCAAGTTGAAAACCCTCATACAAGGTGCAACTTAACTGTGTTCCTGTGGCACGAAATATGATCTTAATTAACACCTACACACTTGGGAATAAAGAATATCTACTGGTAATTTATTAACAATCAGGAAATTTTTAATCCATTCCTTTGCATTGAATGCAAATTAAGAAAGTCCCATCCAATCCTGGTGGGATAAAACTAGGAGAGGGGTACTACCCTGTTAATTTAACGGGTTACTAATGGCATGATAACGCTGACCACCCCACACCCCTTTATCTTGCTCTCAAAGAAAAAGAGCAATGAAACCAATTAGCATTAGAGCAAACTGAAAATACCTAGAAGATGTGTCCAGATGTTACCAGTCTCTGTATGTATTCTGAAGATACTCTTGAAACAAGCCCGGAAGGAAGGCATAGGCGGTCTGTGTCCATGCAACAGGTAGTCATTGTCCTTCAGCCAGTCAGGCAGAACATCATGGGGAATGACTCTCCATCTGCCCTCCCATACCTAGAAGTTAAAAGATTTTAGTTAAATGCAGCAAATTGAGTTCCACTGATGTATGGCAAAAGTCAGAAAACCTGTATTAGTAAAAGTGTTAATCTATGAGTACAGTAAACAGAAAAGTGTTGATGGGACATCTCTGGGGTAAAGGCTTTACACTTGAAATACTATGCTTAAGTCACTGTTCCCTATTCAAAACAGTATCATTATGCAGCATTTCATTAAACGGGAAAGCTATTCGCTTTTTTACTGCTAATGAAGGGAAAGCATTTAATTCATTTCCATGTTCTGTTATTTTTACAGATCATTCTTTCCCCTTAATTGAAGAAGCCTACACCTAGCTCTCTCCAAGAAATAAGTAAGTAAAAGTCTGTACTTCCAACCACAAGCCAATCTATGTATCTGCTAGCATTTGGGGCAGTCTAGCAAAAAAGCTACCCATCAGTACTAATATGGGTCAGAAAGGATGAAGTGGCAAGAGTCTTGTGAGAAGTGTCCAATCCCTTATCCAGGTTGGAAGAAAAAAAATGCTCCCACACTCCCAAACCAAACAGTGACAGATAAGTTAAGGCAACTGTCACTGAGAAAAAAATAAGAAGAACCTTGTATTCCAAGGTTGAGCTTAAGAGTTGTGATTTTGCAAATCTAGTCCCTTAAGAGATAGGCTGGAGTGGTATTATTAAAGGCTGTACCTGTTGCCTGGGTTGAGAGGATTTTTAGCTCTGGCATAAGATGGAGGTTTTTAGCTGCTAAAGGTAGGTGGTTTTACACTACATAAGCAAGAGTGAATTCTGAGAAGCTGAGGTTTTTTTTTCCCCCCTCTGTTCCCATTGCAGTAATAATACTAGCTTGTAAAAACCAAACAGTGACAGATAAGTTAAGGCAACAGATCCATGACTCTCAATTCCATCAGATTTCTTCTTTCAAGGGAGAGAAAGTGTATGTGCACCCATGTATTCTTGCAGCTGGTTCCAAATGAAAAAAAAGTGCACAGGTGTTCTTAGCACTGCTTCAGTAACACAAGATACATGTAGTCTTCAGTTTGGCTTCAGAAGCAGCACTGCCAAGCAGAGGGGTATCAGGGAATTGCTTTATGTACCGGGGTTGTTTCTGCAGTGTTCCTTGGATTTGTCGTCTGGTTAGTAATACAGGAACGAGCCTGAAGAATCCTGAAACACTAAGTTTAAAAAGCTACATTCTTATTTGTTTCAACAAGAGCCCAGAGTTTTTAATTCAGTCCTCCACACTCCTTCATGGAAGCAAAACAAAACTTACCAGAATAACCACCCAGTTAAAGACCGGGTTCTTAAATACATTAAACAAGAAAATAACTGGTTTACTTCATGAACCAAAAATTTGAATTGAAGCAGGAACAGCAGGAGGGAATTCATTTTACACAATCCACCCTATAGAACATCTAAAAAGGGGAAAAGGTGTAGTAAAAGAACCAAAAAAACCCATCACCCAACAAAACAACCTCCACACAAAAGAAGACCAAGTAGTTAGGGCCTCTCTCTAAAAACATCAAAGAATAGTTCATAAAACCAGCAGGAACAAGTGAATAAAGGGACATCACTCCTTTCACCAAGAAAGGAGGGCCAGGGACTGATGCAGCCCCATGACTCTAAAAAGTAGCAAAATTTGAGCCAAGGTCAGCAATTACAAAATCTAATGGATTTACTTAGATATAGTTGTAACACAGCCTTATTTTCTTTTCAAGTAACGGAACAAAGCTTATTCTACAATGGATGCAGATGGTGCTGGAAAAGCAAAATATTTGCAAGTCTGAAGAAACCTGGAAAAAAAAAATGACCTTGTAAATGAAAGTGCCTCGAGCCAGAAGGCTTTTATTCTCCTTTGCACTCACAGGTGTTTCTCAAGCAAGACTCCTCAGTTGCATGATCAGCTTTAGAATCTCATTTTGTTGTTATCCCCATTGTTCCATGCTTTACAATTTATTCATTTATGACAGACTGAGATCCTGAGAAGCTGTAGTGTTACTAATAAGAGAAGCCCACTCAGGGATGGCAAGTACCTGTTCTCCCTCACATTAGTATCACAGTTGCTGCAGGTACAGTCTGTTGCCCACTGGAGCTCCATAAAAAACTAAACTACTTCAGCAGTTTCCATATGCCCTTACCTTACACACAAATTCTTCCATTCTCTCCATAGCATGGTGGGCTTGTAGAAGAGGTGACATACCCATAAACCCTTCATCTTCTTGAGGCGACTCATCATTGTGTTCACAATCCTCAGAACACTGGGGGAAAAAAAATATAGAGAAAATGCTTTGTAGAAAGATGAACAGAGAAAGGGGACATTGTTTTCCATACAAAACTATGATTTGAAGTCTTGGCAAATAAAGAAGTCATCTTTCCTTGTACAGCACTGAGGAAGGAATTCAAAAGAACCAGCAAAAAAATTATTACATTCTTAGGTATCTGACAGCAACTTGCATGTCTAATCCATTTTGCACATGTTTTCACCAGGTTTGGAAGAAAGCAGGATTCTTTTGTAAGTTATGCTTCATTAAAGCCCAAATATGGAGTCTGAGGCTTGCAGCCTGCCCACCTCCGGGGAAGGATTACTTCCTATTTTATGTTTCAATGTCACTATACCTGCCTTAATGCCTCTACTGCATATCTGGCATTTTAGGATAATAAAAGGCAAGCCAAGGAGAGGAATGCATTTACCTTGTTTTAAATGCTTCACCTCAATTTTTAGTTCAAATCTGAAGATCTAGTCTGTTTAACTGACACTTCTGTTCAGCTCATAATCCAGTAATGGGCACTTCCTCATTTGTTTGATTTTCAAGGTATTTCAGAAACCAGTATGAAGCTTCTTCCAGTTAGACAAAAGCCATTTATCAAAGAAAAGCAGTAACAGACATCAGAATTTTAAGCAAAACTCAAATAAAGAGAAACATCATATCCCTAAGGTGTACCAAGACAATTATGAAAACAAAACAAACAAAAAACCCCCACTTAGCCTGGATATTCAAGCTGGTAGACATCACTAATAACTTCATAGGAATGAGGTTTGGTACTCTTCTACCCTATGTTGACTTATCACATCATCTACATATTATGATACACACTAGCTTTCCATTTAGGAAAAAAGCAGGGGGGCCACAGAAGTTCTACATTCCTGTTTGCTTACTACAATGCCCATGGCCCATCAGAGACTCCATTCAATGCTTCAGCTTCCAAGGTAAACAAGTTCAAGAAAGCTAGAAAAGAGAGAATGAGCCTTTTGTAGCCTTCAGGCTTGACACAGAAAGCTGCCACACGCCTTGTGACCAAGCCAAGAAAGCCCCACAATCCCTACAGAGACTGGCCTCATCCATATGACAAGCCACAACATTTTTTTCTCCCTCCTACTCCTATATCAAGGTTAACTACTTTAAAATTGAGATTACTTATCTATAATGCCATCCAGAGTGACTGAGAATCTAGTATATAACCTCATATACCTTATCTATGAATTATTATCAGTAACGTTCAGGTTAGTGTCCTGAAGCTTGAGTCAGAGATCAGATCTGGCTGTGCATTTGTCCCCCCGTTACAGCTCTCTCCTCAGAGTAAGGCCTTATTAACTATTTCTGTCAACAAGTCAGCTGAACAAGCTGCTTAAGACTTTCATTTTTTAATAAATAAAAGATTTCTTCCAACCTACTCTGAGCTATCTAGATTCTTCAATATTTGGGGGTTTTAAGAGAGAGAGAAAAATGACACGCCAATACTTGCTTTTGTACCTGAGGCTTGCAGTACGCACTGAAGTTTCATTTTTTGAAGCAGTCCCCCCCCACATAGTTCTTGACCCAATTTTGCTTATCCAGAAATGCAGATGTCTGCTATGTAATACATAATATACATCCTTCACATTTTCTATATGACCTCACGTTTGTCCACACTAGAACAACTTGATTGACTAAACGAATCTTTGTACGTAATCCATGCCCCTTGTACTGTCTACTTGCCTTCATTTATCATTCCAGCCAACGCCCCCGCTGAGCGAGTCTGGGCAATGATTTCACATTTTATAGCAGATGATTGACATAAATATTGATCAGCTCTAGGCACATCCTCCAGCGGTATGAGACAATGTTAAATAAGCTCTCATTGCCTAGATTATCCCATTAATTCTATTGAGAAAGGCATCAGGCAACACCGAGATGTAAGTAGGTTTAATACCCTTCTAAAATAGGCACATGTCCTGTTGGACCAGAAAGCGTATTAATAAAACACAAATTTGGTTTCATTCTGACTCAACAACATTCACTGAAATTATTTCCCACACTGTCGATTTTACAAGCTTTTTCTACTAATGGATCTCTCTGGTTAGGATTCTCAGTTTTCAGTATTATAAATAATTAACTCAAGGTCATAGAAACATAGACTAGTTTGGGCTGGAAGGGACTTTTAAAGATCATCTGGTCCAAGCCCCCTGCCATGGGGGTCTGGATAAGATGTTCATGGTAGTCTGCACAATCTTACAAATCAAAGAAATCTTCAGTTTCCAAGAACATACCTTGCAGAAAAGCAAGGCTGGTGTTTAAGTTCCAACGCACTTGAGACAAGAAGCACTTGCTATGCCTTTTAGCTACTCTAGAATTCTCTCCCCCAGCACCACCCCATGACCAGCTGGAATGGGGTGACCAAGTTAGTAAACTTCAATTTACAAAACTGGGTGGACTGAAGGAAAAAAGGTCCCTTACAGAATCAAAGCCTGTATTCATTGCAGTCTGCCCAGTGACTCAAAGCCAAAAAATGTCCATTTCCCCCTCTCCACATACTCCCCATTTCTAGAATGCTGGGAAGGTTTAAATTTGAACAGACGGTAAAGCTCGAAGAGCACAGCTATTTATGAACTAGTCCAAAATCTTTGCATTTTGGCACTGTGCCTACAAACAAATCATTACTGAGCTTCTTTTAGTGATAAAAAGAATTCATATCATATATACAGTCCAGATTACTGCCAGAAAATGGAACTGATTTTACTATCTCCTTCCTGCCATTAAGCTGCAAAATTAGCATTCAAGGAAAAAAAAAACCCTAAAGCTCAGCTTCTTAGCCCTTTTCTTGCTAAGAAGGCAAAATGAGATCCGTTCTGCGACGTCCGTCCTCTCTTGACTCCTTCCCGCAATGTCCCATTAGAAAGAACAGTAAACTGCACTTCTTGGAAGCTGGAAGTCTATACATGGAGTACAACACCAATGCCAGTTTTCATTTGGAAATCTGAAGGAGTCTATCAACCTTTGATTCTTCAGACAATGGCTGAAGGGAAAAAAAAGCCACTTTTCTGTTCAGAAGGTATATTGTTGTAAAATTTTCACTGTGACAAGTTCCTTCGTACCCTGAGATTCCTATATTCTCTCTTCTTTGGCTGATTGTATCAGAAATTCAGTAATACCTCTAGAACATAACATAAGCAAGCATATGCTTTAGGACCTGTTTTCCACTATTTCTAAGTCCTGCCCACAGAATCACATTTTAAAATTAGGAACACATTGGGTAAATAATCTCACTTGTCTAAGACCATGCAAGAAATGAGAACCCAGAACAAAACTCTGATATTCCCACTTTTAATGCAGCATGGTATATCCTGAACCAAGGGCTTCCAGAATAAATTTTTGCCTTTGTACTTTCTAGATCATTGGCCAAAAGGACTCTCACTTGTCTAATCTTTCAGATATTCTCTTACGTCATCTAATTTTCTCAATTTCTTTTAAAAGCTCTCTAATTTTGACTAAATTCTGTGAAGTCTTTAGATCATTTTAAGAGTATCTTGAAATAAAAATTCTCATTCACTTGTAACAAGCAAACTTGTTGCAATCATCAGCTGTCATTCTTCTGCTGCACGTATGCAGCAATGCGTAGAATCAGTCTTACATACAAATCAGAGATCATGGCTTCTGTATACTTATACTCTAGAGTGTCTGGCCACTTAATTCTACAGAAATGCCAAACAATCCTTCCCATTTTATTCCTACACCCTTTGCAAATTCATAGAGCGTTAAAGCTACCAACAAATATAGTACAGATACCTAATGAGATGGAAATTATACAACAGAAATATAAATGCATCCTGAGTTGAGTAACAGTACCAGAGAATAAACTAAACCTGAAGGACAAGTGACAATGGCCGGAAGAAAATAGTTTTACTGGTTTATCCATATTCACTTTATTTTGGGAAGTTTTCCAGATTCTTTTGTGATAACACTGATAGACAAGAAGGTAAAAGAAAGAGGTAGAAATCATTCTTCTAAACCAGAATTTCAGAGTGTGCTTTGGTAGGGATAGAAAAGGTTTAATGCCAAAACCAAGACTTAGAGCACCAGAGCAAACAAGAGCAAGAAACCTAAGAGCCCAGGTGCACACTGCCCATCATTAAATAAGTTTATTTGAACATTAAAATCTCCCTCTTTTATAGCAATGGCACAAAAGTTTAAAAAAAAATAGTTTACATTTAGTACAAGAATTTGTTGCCTGAATACAGTCCAAAAAAATCAGATTACATAGCCAAAGACCCTGTTACAGACAAAACTACAGTAAAACCCACTCTAGTAAATGCAATATACTTCTCTTGTCTACTACAACAGCTTATCCTTCTCACATAGATTAACAGTTTTTATACTGTCGCTTTCAAATCTGTTAACAGACACACTGTTTATTAATGCCCCTACTATGGAAAAGCCTGTCAGAAGTCAAATCACAAGAATAGAAAAGGATTCCAGAAACCCTTCTCCCACTTCTGAGAAAGTTGTGTTATCTGGACTTCATGTGGTAAAAAAGTGTAGTTTCTTGAGGTCTGTAGTTTCTTGATGTCAGTTTAAAGATTTCTAGAAAGTTTGAGAGTTTGCACAACCACTACTTGCACCGGTGACAAGCAAGCTCTTGTTCATCATTTCAGACTGCAATTTTGCTAGAAAACATCATCAATTCGTGTTCATTAAAGTCTGCAAACTGAAGTCAGACTTGAATGAAGCCACCTAAGCAGCTTACTCTGTCAAAAGTGGCCCTCTTCTCCCTCATCCCCATCTTCCTTCACACTGCTTCTGGCACCCCTCTGATCCTTGGGTTGATTAGCTGATCCAATGCTAATCTGGCAGAAATATACTCACATTTTTGCTAGGTGAGCTTCCTATTAGGTAATAAAGTCAGTTCAGATAACCAAGGGATTTAAGGAGCTCAAGCTAGTGCAACAGAAAGGAAGGGAACATCAGCTCCCATTTTAACGAGATCCACTGCAGAATACTTT